CCCCCCCCCCCCCCCCCCCCAAACTCCAACTCCCAAGCAGCGGGAGGGAAACCAAAGGGGCTTCCCCCAACCTTTCCCCACCACAGCCGCAGAAGGAAGATCCCAGGATGTGGAAAACCATGAATTTCAGCTTTCTCCCTCATTTTTGGTGTTTTCCAGCCCTGACAATCCCCCTCCGAGCTCTCCCTAAAGTCCTGGGGCTCCACAGCCCCCGCATCCCCCCCCATTCAGTCCATGCCCCTCCGATTTGTGCCCGGAGGGGAGGCAAAGGGGGGGAAAACCAGCTTCTCGCCCTCCCTCCCGCCACCTGCCAACTATTTCAGCAATTTCAGTTATTTTCACCAATCTAGACCTGAAAACACAGCAAAAAAAAAAAAAGTAAACAGAGCAGCGCCGGGCACCTCGTATCGGTCTCAAGAGATAAAAGAAGTGCCAAATCATCGGTGTTAGAGAGAAAGCAACAAAATATCGTGGAGAATAACCTGATTTTTGCCAAATCCCACCTTCTCAATGCCCCCACCGAGGTCCCTTTTCGCCCCCCCAGCTTGTTTTTTGGGCTGAAAAAGGCAGTTTTCCCCTTTTCAACCCTCTCTCCAGTGTAACACCGGCCACGTCGTATCAGTGTTGGAGATAAAGTGACAAAATATCACCAAGAAAACCCCAGATTTCACCAAATCCCACCCTCCCACCAACCCCATTGAGGTCCGTTTCCTTCCAGACTTGTTTTTTGGGCTGAAAAAGGCAGTTTTCCCCTTTTCAACCATCCCTCCAGCCTCGCCCCAGCCACTTCAAATCGGTGTCAGAGATAAAGCAACAAAATATTGCTGAGAAAAACCTGGTTTTCTCCAAATCCCACTTTCCCATCAAAGCCCCTTTCCCCCCACCTTGTTTTTTGGGCTGAGAAAGGCAGTTTTCCCCTCTCTCCAAGGAAAGCAAATCCCCAGAGCAGATGCAAACCCTCCTGCCCCCCCCAAAAAATTCAGGTAGCAATAAATAAAGCGGGGCTGGAAGGAAGACCATCATCTTCATCATCATCATCTGGTTCCTTCTCTCCAGGAGCAATTCCCGATTAAAAAAAAAGCCCCATCAGCCGGGTGGCAACATCCTCGGCTGGGATTTGAGCCCAAAATTCACCTTTTTCCTACCAATTTCCTCCCAGGGCTGAGATAAAACACATTGTCCCCCCTGAAGGATGCTGAGATCCTCTCCCGTTGCCGAGAAACAAGGCTATGTTGGGGCAAATCTGCCCCAAAAAACCCACCCAACTGGGTTTTTTTCTTTTTTTCCTGATGCTGGTTCCAGCGAGGAAGGGTTACCGGGAAGGACTGTGCCACCCAGCTGGGGTGACGGGGACATGGGGGTGCGAGAGACGTCAGGGATACCCCGGGAGATGCTGGTCCATTCCCTCCATCTCCTCATCCCAGCACCTGGAAGCTGCTTCTTAAACAAGGAGCATAAATCATAGAATCATAGACCCAATGACCCAAAACTGCTGTTTTCCGAAGCTGGTGTCCCCAAAAAAGAGCCTCTGGTGGCCTCTGGAGACGCAGGAACGAAGGCCACCTCCTCAGCATGGGGACCAAGACGCTGCCACCAGCAGAGGGACCATAAAACCTTTTGAGAAGCCCTTTTGGGCCAAACCCTTTCAGGCCAAGTGGCGAAAATTTGCTTCAAATCCTTTGATTTTCTGCTTCTGATCTTCTGATCTGCTTTCTGATCTTCTGGGCAGGAGGTGACACTCGGGAGTGTCCCCCCGGGACCAAAAAAAAGGATAAATTCCCAAATTCCTGACCCAAAATGTCCATTGGGGGCGGGTCGGGCTCTTTTCCCACGGCTGGGAAGGGAGTTTCACATCCCGGAGCCAAGCGATGGCGGGGGGGGAAGGAGGAGGAGGTTTTTGGCATCAGGAATTCCCCCCCCCCCCCCCAAAAAATCTGCAGGGATCCGGGTTTCCTGGGAAAAGCCCTTTGCCCTCGAGGATGGAGACCCCAGAGGCTGCGATCCAGGGAACCAAGTCTCTACTCGCATCATCTCGGGGCCACTTCGTCCACGGGGAGGGGGGACACACAAGGGACACGTCACCATCTAAGGAGACGCCAGGAGGTCACGGGTGGCGCTGGGAGGGGGTGTCCTCGCACGTCCGTGTCCCAAAATCACGGCACCAGCCCCAAAGACCAAAAATCCCCCCTGGGGGAAACGCTCAGCTGAAACTGCAGCCCAAAAGATGCTGGAAACACCACCCAGGACCAGTTCAATCCCACCTGGGACCAGTTCAGACCCATCAGGGACCAGTTCAGTCTCACCGAGGACCAGTTCAGACCTACCTGGGACCAGTACAGTCTCACCTGGGACCAGTTCAGTCCCACCAGGACCAGCTCAGTCTCACCTGGGACCAGTTCAGTCCCACCAGGACCAGCTCAGTCTCACCGAGGACCAGTTCAGTCCCACCAGGACCAGCTTAGTCTCACCTGGGACCAGTTCAGTCCCACCAGGACCAGGTCAATCCCACCTGGGACCAGTTCAGACCCACCAGGATCAGGTCAATCCCACCTGGGACCAGTTCAGACCCACCACGACCACCTCAGTCCCACCGGGGACCAGCTCAGTCCCACCTGGGACCAGTTCAGTCCCACCTGGAACCAGTTCACTCCCACCAGGACCAGCTCACTCCCACCTGGGACCAGGTCAGTCCCAGGAGGACCAGTTCAATCCCACCCAGGACCAGTTCAGTCCCACCTGAGAACAGTTCAGACCCACCAGGACCAGTTCAGTCTCACCTGGGAACAGTTCACTCCCACCACGGAAAAGTTCAGTCTCATCTGGAACCAGTTCAGTCCCACTCAGGACCAGTTCAGTCCCATCAGGGACCAGTTCAGTCTCACCGAGGACCAGTTCAGACCTACCTGGGACCAGTACAGTCTCACCTGGGACCAGTTCAGTCCCACCAGGACCAGCTCAGTCTCATCTGGAACCAGTTCAGTCCCATTGGGGACCAGTTGAGTCTCACACAAGACCAGCTTAGTCTCACCTGGGACCAGTTCAGTCCCACCAGGACCAGCTCAGTCTCACCTGGGACCAGTTCAGTCCCACCAGGACCAGGTCAGTCCCACCTGGGACCAGTTCAGTCCCACCTGGAACCAGTTCACTCCCACCAGGACCAGCTCACTCCCACCTGGGACCAGGTCAGTCCCAGGAGGACCAGTTCAATCCCACCCAGGACCAGTTCAGTCCCACCTGAGAACAGTTCAGACCCACCAGGACCAGTTCAGTCTCACCTGGGAACAGTTCACTCCCACCACGGAAAAGTTCAGTCTCATCTGGAACCAGTTCAGTCCCACTCAGGACCAGTTCAGTCCCATCAGGGACCAGTTCAGTCTCACCGAGGACCAGTTCAGTCCCACCAGGAGCAGGTCAATCCCACCTGGGACCAGTTCAGTCCCACTCAGGACCAGTTCAGTCCCATCAGGGACCAGTTCAGTCCCACTCAGGACCAGTTCAGTCCCATCAGGGACCAGTTCAGTCCCACTCAGGACCAGTTCAGTCCCATCAGGGACCAGTTCAGTCCCACTCAGGACCAGTTCAGTCCCATCAGGGACCAGTTCAGTCCCACTCAGGACCAGTTCAGTCCCATCAGGGACCAGTTCAGTCCCACTCAGGACCAGTTCAGTCCCATCAGGGACCAGTTCAGTCCCACTCAGGACCAGTTCAGTCCCATCAGGGACCAGTTCAGTCCCACTCAGGACCAGTTCAGTCCCATCAGGGACCAGTTCAGTCCCACTCAGGACCAGTTCAGTCCCATCAGGGACCAGTTCAGTCCCACTCAGGACCAGTTCAGTCCCATCAGGGACCAGTTCAGTCCCACTCAGGACCAGTTCAGTCCCATCAGGGACCAGTTCAGTCCCACTCAGGACCAGTTCAGTCCCATCAGGGACCAGTTCAGTCCCACCAGGACCAGTTGAGTCTCACCTGGGACCAGTTCAATCCCACCTGGGACCAGTTCAGTCCCACCAGGACCAGTTCCTGCCCAGTGACACCATTAAACCACCCCAATGGCCACGGTGCCCCCCGTCTTCACAGTGGGGACACCGAGGAATATTGTCCCCCCAAAGGGGACACGATTTCCAGCCCCGTGGGAAAACGCCCTCTCCCACTCCCTGCAAAATTTAGCAATTTTAGGATAAATTTCCCCCTTTTCCCAGCCCTTTCCTGGGAGGGTTGGGCTTTATTTATTTTTTTAAAGCTTTTTTTTTTTAAGCTTTCTAAGCCAAACGCCGACAGCTTGTGGTGCAGCGCCGGATTTAGAGATTCCCCCCCCATCCGGGGAGAGAGCTGTCTTTTTTTAAAAAAAAAAAAAAAGGAAAAATAAAAAATAAGAAGGAGAAAAAACAGGCGTTTCTCCCCCCAAAAATAAAGCTCAGGATGGAGGAATCCTGACGTCTTGGAACAACTTCAACCTTCAAAAAGGGGAAAAAAAAAAAGCCTACGCGGCGTTTTTATAGTCTGCTGGGATGTCATATGGAAGGGGGGACCCCCCCCCACCCCAAATCCTCCTTCTGGTAATCTATGGCTTGCATCTAATTAAGGGAGAAATAAATTAAGGATCCTGTACGTCCGTGCTTCCTTCTTCACAGACTGGGAAGCGCCGGAGCCTCCGGAATAAAAATAAAAATATATAATAACAATAATATATATAAATATAAAAATAAAATAATAATAAAATAAAAATAAAAAGTTTGGGGAGAAATCCCGGCGGAGAGAAAGCAGCTGGATAATTTATAGTTATTATCTCCCTTTTAATATAGATTGTTTTTAAGGCAAAAGCTTTCCCCGAGGCCGCCAAGCTCAGGTCATTAAAGATCTGAAAATAAATATATTAATGGGGGGGGCAGAAAGGGGGGGGTTAA